TAAATTATGTGAAACACAGAAAAACTCTCTGCTCAGACTCATGGAGGTAGACCAATACAAACTTTCTAAGTTCATGAACTTTGTGTCATCAATCTTTAGCGTGTACTCTCGAGTGCCCAAGTTCGAGTTCACATCATCTATCCCTAGGCTCTCTACTGCTTTGTTCATGTCATACTGCATATTTATCCCTTGTTCTGCGTTGTATATAAATATATTTGGTTCCATAAGATCATTAAGCAGGCGAGTAGGAGTATTGTTATAATTTGGATTATTTCTGCTGTATCTTAAACTCTTTTCTAACTTAAACATAGTCGCATCATCGTCTTTACTATCATTGTACATAAAGTGTTCATACATACGGTTCTTAATTGCATCTTCCATGAATTTTTTCTCTTCATCGCTATACAGCTCGCTTTCTATTCTTATGTTTTTATCAAGTAGATGCCTTAGTATAGTGATATAGTACAAATAACCATGGGACCCAAAAAGCTCTTTCATATCATATGCACTGTCAATGGTATTGTAGGCTTTTAATATTCCCTCTAGATCTATCACTAATTTAACTTCTTTCATGTCTGTTGTAAAAATTTTAATTGCAGAAAATGTTTTAATTTGCTGAGCTATTCATTCTACTGGTGGCATTATTATCAGCTATTGGCTGAATATTCTCAGAGCAGCTGACTGGTTCACTGAGCACTAGCTGCTTCATTTGCTGTATGTGCACGAGTTAATTGCAGTGCTCTATTGGCCAGTGTATCTGTGCAGTAATTGATCAGTAGATATAGCTTGGGGATAGAGACAAGTTTAGTGGCTCTCTGCCAGTACCAGCTATTTGTGTGTCTCAGTCCTTCTCCTTTGCAGAATAAATGTGCCATAAACTCTATTTCTAATCTAGCTTGTATATGTGCCAGTAAAGGAAACAGACCAAAGACAGGTGTATGGCACCACTGCTGTGCATCTATCTGCTCTGTGTTGGCCTTGTGGCAGCAGGCTGCAGCAGGAGCAGGCTCAGAGCGCAGTGTGCAAACAAATTTAAATAAGTGCATAGTGTACAGAAAACAAAATGAAATAAAATAAATAAAATAATAAAATAAAATAAATAGTACAGAGAGTGAAGAGGGCTAGTAGAGTTTTATTTCTTGTGTTTTATTTTGGAGAGTTTTATTTTATATTGTGCAGGAAAGGGCTGGGAGAACAAGGAGAAGAGAGTAGAAGAGAGGGAGAGTAAGTGGAGGAGAAGAGAGAAGGGTGCTGGTGGTGTGAAGAGAAGAAGTGCTCATTGGTAGTGGAGAAAGAAGGTAAGAGTAAGTGCAAGTGCAGTTTATTTGTGATGTTGACTGACCAGTTAGATAGTTAGAGTCAGGTAGCTCAAGGGAGCACAGCGAGTAGTGCTCTGGAGAGTATTCACTGTGCAGTGTGATCATTGTATTCTAGTGACTGCTTATCTAGTTGTTGGTGGTTTTCATTCTGTTCTCTATTCTGTAGCCAAGGACTACTGTTAGTACTATAAGAAGAACAACTAAGGACACAGACACTACAATCTTTAGGGCTGAAACTATCTTTCTTTTTGTAGGTGCTGGGAATAGCTGTCCTTTTGCTCTCGCATTATGAGCTTCCAAAGATTCTTCCATTTTCTTGTGCAAGTAGTCTACCTGGACTTGGCTTAAGTCATTTAAAGAGGACAAGTTATCTTGAAGAAAAACAATGTCATTATATTGTAAGTTTTCTTTTTTTATCTTCTGCTTTAGTGATTTTGTTTCTGCTTCTGATGCTCCTTCTTCTGCTTCTAATCTAGCAATTTCTGTGTTCACTTTTTTCTCTAATTTTTCATTAACTTTTGTAAAGTCTCTTGCAAAATCACTCCGATTTCCCTCAAGTTTTAGGGTCTTTGGCTCACCTATTCCACCCAAGAGATCAGTGTTATTTGCCATATAGTCTACTTCAGCAATCATGTATGTCTGCATTCTTTTTTCAGTTGTAATTGGCTCTCTATTCTCGATAATAGAAATGACTATTTTAAAGTCTTTTTCAGAGTCAAATAGTCTATTCACTTGGTCAATTATAGACTGCCTTTGGGCTCCATCATTGTTCATTTCTCTAATCTTTTTAATTGTGTCTAGAATTTCAAAGTATTTTTTATGAATAAGATGCAGACCGT